CGCATAGAGAACGATGCAACAGTACGGCTGACAAATAAAGTGAATAACACACTTAAGAGGACACTTTCCGTGAGATTTTCCTCTATGGAGCAGTGCACTGAGGATGCCATTGAGGGAAGTGGTGAAACGTTTGTCATTAAATCACTCAGCTCGGAGAACGAATCAAAACGTTAACTATCAACCCGATCTACAGGTATTCCGAATCATTACAAAGTAGGATCACTTGCCAAGCAACACGACGCTTTACGACCTCTTCTGCCGCATCGGTTGCTGATGTGATTACTAAATGGACTGTTCCGAGCAAAATGCCATCCACTACAAAACCAACAAGCAGAGGGAATTTCTGAAAGTGATAGCCCCACGTGAGTTGTTGCTTTTGGGGGGGGGGGGGTGGTTGACTGCACGAGGTCATGTTCGTACGTATTGGACAAATGCTGAAGCATTGATGTATCGTGCTTTATGTTCGTTGACTCTCACCGGTCACTTGCTGCAATATGATGTCAAGAGTTTGTTCAATCTTGCTCAGTATTCTTGTTCGAATGTCTGTATCTTTGGCTGCTTATGGGCTGCAGAGGTACACGAGACGGTTGTACTGGGTCCCGGTCGTTTTGTGATCGTTCGCACTCACGATTCACACGGCCTGAATACTGCACCCAGTCCCCTTCTTCTTTCTTAGTCACTGTCAGACATTTGAAACAAATGTTGAACAGCGATGTCTGTTCACCGAAAAGTTGTGGGCATGCCACGACTTCATCCAACGACAGATCAGTGCTCTTCTTTGGGAGAATGAAATTCGTGAACTTTACATGTTCAGCAGCATCCGACGAAATTGCTTCTTCTTTGAGACGTCGACCAAATCGATACGGAAACATATCGTCATACTTGTGCAACCAGTAAGCGAACGTTACACCTGCATCAGCATCATAATGGAATTCACTGATTTGCTGCATTTAGGTTTTCGGAAAGGAGACACTCACTCGCCTCCTGAACCTGAGCTTGACTGTATCAATAACTACTGCGTCAACATCCGAATGAACTTGGCCAGCGATTTTGCAGCTGTATTTGTTGTGGCTGCAATTGTTCAACGCCGACTGTTATTCCTGGGCAGCAGGGGACCTGGTGTTAGTGAAACAATTTGTGATGAGAGTGGACAGCCTATCCACAATTTGTCAAAACGTTTGGAGCGTTGGGCTGAGCATTTTGAAAAGCAATTTAATCGGCTAGAATTGTCCGATTCGCCGGTCACTGATCGCCCTGCTCCGTGGGCTGTCCCTTTGGATCCACCCTCTCGCTCAGAAGTCGAACGTGAGATCCGACTGTTGAAGTCGAACAAAGCCGCGGGACCAGATGATCTTCCTCCAGCCCTCTTCAAATTCGGAGGCCCTGCTCTTGTGGATGCTTTGCATGAATTACTAGTGAAACTGTGTGAGCAGGAGACTGTCCCAACCGACTGGAGCCAGTCCGTTATTGTTCCCATCTTCAAAGGCGGCTCGCGCTCGGAATGCGGCAACCATAGAGGAATCAGTCTGATCTCCATCGCCTCCAAATTACTCGCCTCCATAATCCTTCACAGACTGACTGGCGCTCGGGAAAGCCAGATTCGTGTGGAGCAAGCCGGGTTTCGTCGTGGTCGTGGCTGCATTGACCACATCTTCACTTTGCGTCAGTTGTTGGAGCACCGCCACACATATTGGCGGCCCACCGTAGTCGTGTTCCTCGACATCAAAGGTGCCTTCGATTAGGTTGATCGATGTGCCCTTTGGAATTGTCTACTCAGGAAAGGTGTGCCCGAGAAATATGTAAATATTATCCAAGCATTATATGCGCGTAGCACGGGCAGAGTGAGGGCTTACGGCAAGCTGTCGCCACCCTTTAATATCTCCAGCGGTGTGAGACAAGGATGCCCGCTGTCACCTTTCCTCTTCAACTTCGCTATTGACGAAGTCATGGATATTGCATTTACAGGACATGACTTGGAAGGTGTGGAGCTACTCCCAGGAGAACGACTTCTTGACTCGGAGTATGCTGACGACATTGCCCTCATCTGTGACAGCTCCCAGACGTGCCAAGCCGCGCTAGACAGATTAGCACTGGCTGTCAGTCGCTTCGGGCTTTGCTTTGCACCATCGAAGTGCAAAGCGCTCCTCCAAGATTGGCAGGGATCGCCTCCTGCGCTGACCCTTGGTGGGGATCAGCTAGAAGTCGTTCAGAAATTCAATTACCTGGGAAGTTGTATCAGCGCCCTTGGGATCGAAGACGAGATCACGAACCGTATAGAGAAAGCTCGAAGTGCTTTTGCCAACCTTCGCCACCTTTGGCGGCGACGCGACATCACTCTCGCCCTGAAGGGTAGAGTGTACAATGCAGCGGTACGTTCGACCTTACTGTACGGTTGCGAAACCTGGCCCATAAGATCGGCGGACATGAAGAGGCTAGTTACGTTCGACCATCGATGCCTTCGCAGTTTGGCTCACATATGGTGGGAACACCGCGTGAGTAACGAGCGTGTTCGACGCATTGTTTACGGCCCAGGAAAAGGATCTGAACCGCTCAGCACCGTTATTTCCCGTACCAGGCTCCGATGGCTCGGCCACGTGTTACGCATGCCAGCCCACCGACTCCCTCGACGTGCGTTGTTTGCTCACCGGGGATGTGGGTGGAAGAAGAGGAGAGGTGGCCAAGCGATGACTTGGTCCAGGGGAATGAAGTCCCTCACCACGGAGCTAGCCTCGGTTGGAGCTTCACGGCTCCCTGGTTGGGGTCCAAAATACGGTGAACACGTTTGGCTGGATACACTTGCTGACATGGCAAGGAGCCGACCTCAGTGGCGTTCATGCTGTGAGTTTCTTTGTCCCTCCCCATCCATCTACGATCTCATTTCCTAGGGTAAAACATACTTTTTTCTTTTTGCCTAGTAGCCAGCTGGAAGCTTACCGGAACGATGCCTATCCGTTGCTGGTAGCTCAGCTGGCATGCAACTGTTGTATCTACTTCTCCTTTGTGTATTGTATTGTATGTATGTATGTATGTATTTCCTTCATGTATTGCGGCACAATAGCGGAGGTGTTTTTTCCCACCTCTAGCTGATGTGTATAATGATTCCTGGGCTCGACTGTGATTGGCAGTCACCACTGTTGTTTACGCTGCATTTGCCTCCGCGCCGCTAGCCCAGCCGAAAAAAAGCAGAAGACCGAGACCTGCCAGACCGAAGAGCATGCGAAACAGAACACGGTTAATTCTGTAGGCCACATGCCATCATCTCCGTCTGCGGTCCTGGATTGACTCACATCACTTATTTAGGCGGATTCAAACATGTTAGCGGTCTCCACTGGTCGGCTGTAGTTGTGCTCACGCCGGCCGCGTAGAAACCCGTGTTATTATGACGAAGTGAATTCATCAGCTTTCCGCGTGACTTGCCGCAGGCCCACTGCACGACTCGAAACCGTGTCACGAAGTTAATTTGTTGCGGCCGCCTAATACTTTTAAGCATAATACCTCAGGACTTGTTACTGATTTCGTAAGTGTACCCAAGGAAACGCGAATTGCACGAGTAATTCGCAATATTATCCGAGGATCTATAGAATGGAGCGATAGGAATGACCTCGGCAAGGCTTCCCAAAACAGTGGCAACTATATCTGGAGAAAGAATTCACGACAGACGATGTGAAATAGTGCTCAGAGAAAATAAAAGCTGTCGAATTTGAAGACTCCGCCACAAGTAACAAGCGTCGTGCTGTCAGAGTCATTTAAATCAGCCGTTCCCTTTTCATTGGATGATCGTTCCTACCGCATCTGTAGCGAAGTTATCCGTGCACACCAAACATTTTTGAAATTCTACTAATTCATCCTAATCAGAAGTAACCTCGGTTAGACTATGTAAAGTCCATAATGCGCTTACTATGTGATTAACAAATGGTGTTTTGTGACTTGAGGAACCTTCCTCCGGATCGACAAACTTGGCCATGACACTGTACCGTCGGTGGGAAGCAGATTCGAGACCACTTAATAGAGTGACGCCTGTGCCACCAACCCCTATTTTTCATTTTTGCAACTTGCATTTTAATGGCGCAGTTTTAGAACAAACGCCGTGGTTATAGTGGAATGCTAAAAATACACCCACTCGGGTACATAAAGCTGTGATATCGACTTCACTCAGCTAGTCTACAACGATCGTCATTTACGACCACCTGTCGTGATGAATTCGAGATCGTGGCACTGCCATAAGCTGCTCTTTTTGATTTGTTGAAGGAACAGCTCACAAAATATTGAGAACACAGAGTCAATCGTTAAGATAATTTTACTGTCAAACTATGAGGGTGTTGTCTCTCGGTTATGACGCTACTTGCCTTTCGTGAGCAACCTAAAGCAAATCACACATCGTCTCTCGTTTGCTTATGGGGTAAGGGTGTTGAAAGGCAGTTTCCCTAATTCGGGTTTTGGAATCTCATCAACCGAGCTCAAAGGAGTCACTTCACCTGAACAATGGGGTTGAGGACTTCGTTTATTTTCTTAATTTCTAGGAGGCATGTTCGCTTAGATTCGCCAAAACGCAGAAAGCAGTCAGAAATGCGCAGCAAGATAACCCACGCATTGTTGTCTGCGTCACGACGGAGAAAAACATCAAAAGCAGTTACCTAGATAAAACAAAGTCATTTCGAAGAAGGAAGATTCAAGCGATGTCAACCGATTAGGACAACAGGGAGCATAAGAACAATTATCCAGGAACAGAACAGAGCAAGCTGGTCTGGTACTGTCGTACAAGGAAGCTGCACATTACTGCTTTACATCCAGAAGGAATCTCACATGTGACAGTGCACACTATAAAGGAGGGTTAGAATGGAGCGTTTCCGAGAACATGATCATCATTGGAAATAGAGGAATATAGTGTATAATCATAATTATCATTTACAATCGCCAGCCAAAAGTGTGACCGGGCAGAGAAAGACGGCATACGCATAAACACACGACAGGGATGATTCGGATGATGAATGCGAAGCATCTCATTCACCTAGGCGTTGGAGCTCAGGCGCTACTTCCTTTGGCCACCAATTGGGGGCATAGGGAGTAACAAGCAATGTGCACGATTTGGATGGATCAGGATCTGACAACGCAGTGAAAATTTGTGATGGAGACGAACTAACGTCAGTCAACCGAAGAAGAGCAAGTCCTTCAATGAAATTGATCGGTCCCTCGTGTGGGATCCAAACGGCGCGTAGCCAACCTATTGGCTTAGACAATCGCTGTTCCGCTGAAGTTTCCACGGTAACGACTGCATTCGTGAAGTGACTGTCAGAGAGAAAGAAAAGGCGATTAATTAGAGACGGCTTCTTCAAAGGAACGAGTATCAAGTGATAGTAGTGTAACCACTATTAGTTCAGAGGGAGTTCAGTTGAGAATGTCCTCAAACGGATTTGGTGTTAGAGAGTAATCGACAAACAAGTTCGGAGAGCATCAACAAATGAGGCAAAAACCTTCCGGTGCAGTACAACATTCATCGTCAATGGCACTTACCAACCAGGACTCAAGTTAGAGACAAGCTGATCAGCGGAGCACAATCGAACTGGCACAAATCGGCGTCGCACAACGCCAGTGAATCTGGTACGTGCAGTCAATTCTTGTCCAACGTAGCACCCTTTGGAAAAGCTGATTCCACCAGACAGGTCGGCATTGGCTTCCAGTGGAAGCGTTTCGTTTCTAATTATTTCTGATGCACCCTCGGGTAAGCCCATGCGCCAACGCATTTGATGGTAAACATCAACAACGGATGGAGATTCATTCGCCGCAGTAAACACTGCATTCGCTACAAGAACGAAATTTATAGTAAATGTATTCAACTAATAGGTAACGGACGACCGAATTCATCTGAATAGGGAAACCGATTGAGAGGATAAGATCAGACAAAACAAGATACGGATTGCAAAATGATAACCAGAGCGCAATCAGGCTGATAAGGGCCAAAAATTTTGATCGCCATTCCCGTGGTCATGGTGAAGCCCAAAACCAGACATAGAGCTAAGTCAGTAAACTGAACGAAGGATGATTGAGCATACGCGAAACCCTGGAATCAGGTGAAGTAGATGAGGTTCGATCGACTAATTTATGGCCCTAGAAAACAAGTGTTCATCTGCAGTTGGTACTGGCGCTCGCTGTCGCCCAACTTTCGATTGAGGATGGGTCACTATCGCACAGTGCGTGCTATCGACGAATGTAAAAGGCACCGTTCACAAGTTCACCTACTGAGGACATCACTAAGGGTATTCCGATCACATACCTGATGTAACCATCCAATTTCCGGATATTTCTGATCTGATTGATGTAGATAATTGGATTATAACTGTAGCTTAAATGAAATTGTGATAATAAATGACATATGATGATGAAGATCCTGGGCTGGGTGATAGGTGATCGTGATTTTCTCCCGTGACCCAACAGAGGAAGCGGTGCTCAGTTTTCCTGTTCCAAAGCACTGTATCCAATGACTGTACTAACCAATCTCATAAAGCACAAAGGTTTGGCTCGTTGAAATCGTGTAGAGCAGTTAGAATCAGCCTAATTTACAACAGCATGCTTATCATTCTGACAGCAGCAACGAGGCGGCATCCAAATAATATCTTGCACAATACACTAAAGAGTAGAATACAAGAGGAGATGAAGCATTGTTGGTTCTATCGGCACCAAAAAAAGAAAGTGAGATCAGGTATCGCAACCAGTTGTTGCGAATTTAAGAGTGGAGTAAAAGCGACCCAATGAGTCCCATTACGGCGAAATAAGTAAAAACTTTTATCTCTCTCATAAGAGTAGCCACATTTGGGAACTTGGTACCATCGTTCCAAACAGACGACTGGCTTAGGTATGTCGCAGCAGCCTCAAACATCAGTTTTCGCTCAGCTCAGTCGCCAAAAGTTCGCGATTTTATATCTAAATTCTTTCGCCTTTATCAGTATATTGATAATTCCAGTGTCTCTTTAGAATGCCTCGGCTCAATGTTCAAACGTTGCAAAAATAGTGGTCAGTCTTGCTTGTGTATTGTTTTGCGACTGCTACATAGGCTAAAGGAACATGATGCATTTCCACTACCCGGATCGTGCACATATTCTGGGTGCAGTTATTCGCAATATGTATCATATATGTTTCGTACGACGAGTCGCAGATAAGTCTCGTTTAATCTCTAGGTTCAATGCGAATCCTCGCTCTCGTTTGCGGCTCCGAGGAGATGATTGTTGATAAGTTCTGCGAACTAGCTGTCCAGTTGGTCGTAACATATGCCGGTTCGCCTCTCCATCAATCATCCGCCAGCACAGTGTCCAGATAGTTAAAGGGGTGGAAGCCTTTGAGAGCTTGTTTCTAGCGGTCGATAACCCCAATGCCTCGTGTTTCTCCTCAAACTCAGGAAACGCTGCGCCCATCTCAAGTCCACGAAGTAGCACTAACCTGGGGCCAATAAAAGAAAAAGAGCAGTACCAGTATGTCGGTGCCACAAGCAGACACTTCGCTGACCTGCGACAGACAGCAGTTGAGCACGAGTCAAGGATACGGAGAGGTCACCTGCAAACAAGCAAACTCGAACCGGTGACCTGTGGGTTTTGAACCAAAAGACTGATTTATAAGGGCTCACAACCACATGCCACAACAACTCGACACGACACGACCGCTGAAGGCATACGCTGCGTTTCGACCAGTTATGGGTGAGACGCACCAGCACCGCTAGGTGTCGGCCACCTCACTCCGCCCCAGGACTTACTATGTCTTGTGACGTGAGGTGACTATTAGGTGAAAGGAACCTGGGCCCATTGGATGTTAAGCCACCATAGGAATACACAGCGACGAGCAAAACGTCAGCACGAGGGAGAACATTTGTTCTACGCTGCTAAGCTACCGCAAGCTGTCTCATAGGTAAAAGACAAATGTGTTTCTTCACCGGAACATCCGTGGAGCAACGAATATAAGAGACAAAAATATTAAAACGGAATTAGGCGAGGGACGAAAGAAGTATGCCGCTCGTTAAAGGAGGCGCTGCTTAATACGAAAATGGACTCTTACGTACCAGTAAGGTACGAAAAAGTAGAGCTTGACGACTGTTAGAAAGTGTTCAGCTTTGGCCCTTAGTGATCCGTTGTTAGTCAACATCTCAATACATAGATGCAGTATGAAATCAATCGTAGGAGTGCATTTCGATAGCAAAAAATCACGCCTCTCTGAAACTAAGAAAATAAACAAAATCTTCAAACCTATTGTTTACGTGGACTGACTCCTTTGGACTCGGTTGATGAGGTACCAAAACCCGAGTGAAGATTCCTTACAACATGCTCCACTCCATATGCAAACGAGAGACAATGAGTGCGTTGCTCACGAAATGCAAGTGACCTCATGACCGAGACAGCACCCTCATAGTTCGGCAGTAGCGTTATCTTGAATGTTGGCTCACACCGTGTTCCCAATGTTCGTGAGCTGTTGCTTGAACAAATTAAAAGAAACAGTCTATGGTGGTAGCACGACATCAAAGTCATCACAACAGATGGTCGTAAATGACCATGGTTGTAGGCTAGCTGAGTGAAGTCAATATCACAGCTTTATGTACCCGAGTGGGTGCATTTTTAGCATTTCGCAATAACCACCGCGTTTGTTCTAAAACGGCGATGTTAAAATGCAAGTTGTAAAAAGGAAATAGGGATATTGGTAACACAGGAGTCGCTCTAATAAGCGGTCCAGAATATGCATCCCACTGATGGTACGGTGTCAAAGCGAAGTATGGCGATTCGGAGGAAAATTCCTCAAGTCACAAAACACCACTTGATAGTCTCGCATAGTAAGCGCATTATGGACCTTAAATAGTCTAACCGAAGAAATGTCAAAAGTTACTTATGTGTAGGAGGAAACAGTAGAATGTCAAAATGTCAGTAGAAATGGCAAACAGTAGAATGTCAAAATATCCGCTAAAGATGCGGTAGGAACGAGCTTCAGGCGCGCCCAGCGGTTCCTACCGCGGTCTGCGCGTAGCCTTTACTAACGTATGCAGTCTGATGAACAAGCGCGATGTGCTGTACGACTTTGTAAGCTCTCAGCGACCAGACGTATTAGGCCTTGCTGAGACATGGTTAAACTCCGAGGTAACCGTCCAAGAAGTGGAAATCACCGGCTACTCATGCTTCCGCTGTGATAGACCATCAAATGATCGCGGTGGTGTTCTACTTTACATAAGGTCTTCCTGGTGTGGGAGACTAGTGAGCACCTACCGAAGTGCTGGTGGTCTATGTGAGCAGTTATGGTGTTCGATTCACCTCAGACGCTGCGAGTTGCTCGTGGGCGTGGTATATCGCAGCCCACTGAGCCGCAGTTTGGACTAGTTGCCGCGTGTCCGCAACCACATGAGTCGTCAGATGTTCCTACTCGTGGGCGATTTCAACTTGCCCCGAATACAGTGGCCTAAAGCTGAACTTCTCCCCGGCCATTGTGAAGTCGAGAGGAAGTTTACGGAGTTGCTATTTGAAACTGGGGACATACAGCACATCAACCAACCGACACTCATTACTGCGCGCGCGGCTCCATCATGTCTAGACCTTCTCTTGACTGGCTGTGAGCAGCGTGTGCATAACATTCAAGTCTTAGAGCCTCTGAGAGTGAGCGACCACTCGATGATCATAGGCAGCATGGAACTACCACTGCCGTATTCTCCCCCACTGGAGCCAGCCTTCAACTATTGGAAGGCGGACTTTAATGGCCTCATTCGAGCAGCGAGCCAGATGGACTGGTCTTTACCACAGGGTTCATCTATTGAAACCTGTTGGACTATCATTAAAGAGGGAGTAAAATCGTTGTGCGCCCGATTTGTACCCCTCAAATTTCGGAAAGTTGGGCCAGTCAAACCACATTGGTTCGACAAAGAGTACAACAAACTGGCCCGACGACGACGCAGACTATGGGACAAGTTCGTGTTATCTGGCTCTGATGAGGACTACAATGCGTATAAGGTACAGCGAAATCGCTGCAACAACGCGAAAACAGGAGAAAGCAGAAGCTTCGAAGAGAAGCTTGCAGCCGCCGCAAAAACTGCCCCTAAGAGGATCTTTGCATACGTGAAGCGGCGCCTGAGGCCTGTAGCCAATGTCCCAGTGTTAGAACGCTCCGATGGACAGCCCCTAACCTCGAGTACAGATCGTGCGTCCGCATTGGCGACGCACTTCGCCTCTGTATTTGCAAGTGACCAGGTGTCTGTAACGAGTTAGACGAGTACCGCTCCAGCCGAACTTAACAGCCTGGACTGCAATATTGAGGATGTGCGCAAGCTTCTAGCAAATCTTGACGGGACAAAGCCTGCTGGGTCAGATGGTATACACCCACTGATCCTCAAGTCCCTATCGGCCATCATCGCGCCTTCTGTAACTGAACTGTTTAATAGGTCACTATCTACTGGACTGTTACCAGACGACTGGAAATGCTCAGTCGTAAAGCCTATACCAAAAGGTGGTAACCCAAGTAAAGTGGATAACTACCGGCCGATCTGCCTGACTGCTGTTTTGGCAAAGACGCTCGAGAAGATCGTAAAGAAGAACCTACTGCAACTTCTCGAGTCGAAAAACCTGTTGACCTCCGCACAGCATGGTTTCATGAAAGGTCGCTCGTGCATCACCAACCTACTGTTGACAAGGCACGAGTGGTTACAAGCGATAAACCAAGGCCATTCAGTCGATGTCATTTACATTGACTTCAGTAAGGCTTTTGACAAGGTTAACCATGCAGTGCTCCTTGACAGGCTAAGGATGTGCGGTGTTGGTGGTTCGCTACACAAATGGATCAGAAATT